GGTGAGTTTTGGTTTTTAGTTTTTCCCTAGTACACCCTTCACTAACAGCTTAGGCTTTTAAGAGTCCAGTTTTATGTGTCTAGAGGAGCCTATGAGGTCTTAGCTCTGACTTCCCAGCCTCCACTCTAGTCCTGGCATACTGCCCCCAAACAGTGCAACATTCACTCTCTCCTACCCACCAGAATGTCCTTTCACTCTGAATCCCCTCCGGATTCCCCTCATTTCTTGAAAGCTCAGATATCACCCTCCTCCTTCTCCTCCTAATCATATTACAATGAGGATAACAAACATCATATCATGTTCCAAACACATGAACGCCTTATCCATGTTCTTTTAACCCTCCCAAGAGCTCCATGTGGGAGGTGCAGCTGTAATCCCTACTTGTAAGCACAGGTCCCGAAGCATGGAGGGTCACACAGCTAACCCAACACTAGAGTCAGTTGACTATGATCACAGACATGGAGAAATACAACCCTTCATGTGATTTTGCCTCTCTGTGCAAGTAAAGAGATAGACAGCCTAATTTGTCAATTATTTCTGAGTGTTATATAACTGGTGAATTATCTGGTAATCCAGTTCATCACGTTCATATTCTATCTCTTTAAAATATATTTTTGCCCAAATATAAATGTGTTTATCATAAAAGTTTGAAAAGGTATCAGCATACAAAAGAAAAGGAGAACTAAAATCACTAATAACAATCTTGTATATTTTCTTATAAACTTTCAACTTAACTTTCTAAATCTTCAGCAGAATCTCCATAGACAGCATGAGTATGTCAACTCAAATCACCACCAACAGACGTGGAGATTACTGCATCTGCCACGGCCACATTCATAAGCTCTCCTGGTATTTGTGAGCTTTGTCCTTTACAGTTGCTTCAGAAACAACATTAGCCTTATCACTTCACCAAGGGGATTATGTGCACAGTAAATACATAAGCAGTGAATATACTGTAAGTCAAAAGTAGGGAAAGTTGGAAATTTTATGTTGCAAACAAAGTAGTAAAAAAAAAAAAATTTAAGTGAAAAATAAACACATACAGGATACCTGAAAATTGTAAATCAACTATATTTCAGTTTTTTTTTAAAATGCATATGTGTGTGCAGGAAGGGAACTTCAAAGACCAAACAAGGAACCATAAAGGGTAAGGCAGAGGGATGGATATTAATAAAATGCATGGTCAGAATATGGACGTCAATGTACAATGTTTATTAGCCTAACATCAGTTTAGGAAAAGCCCTGAGTATGTGTCAGCACAAAGGGTTGCTGATGAAAACTCTAGTCAGAAAAAGCATGCATGAGTGAAAAGGAATTGAATAAAAATGTCTTTAAACTGGGAAGGAAATACACATAATTGCACGCACATGCACACACACGCACATCTACATATATACTGATCCTAGCTAAACAACTGTCCCAGTGGGGTATCATTCCTCTGGAGGCCCTCAGGTCCCCAAAGCACTGACCACATCTATATGCCAGGTCAGCTTCATATTAACTTTGAGGACCTGACTGAGTCAGGTGACATCCCCAGCTAATTAAAACAGTATGTTTTACTATCTACTTATATAGAGAATATTTCCGAGACAAGAATTTCAGTTTTACTTTTAACATGACAGCATATATTACATCACGGTATTTCACAATCTTTTATAATGGTTGATTTCAAGGTTACTAATCACCTGGGACTTCCTGCTTTTGGACCCACAGGTGGGTTAAGCCACATACTCACCTGGGACCCAGAGTACAGAGACAAGAGGAAAGGAGTGAGAGTGAGGAGACAGACAGAGAGACAAATAATGAAAAACAATGTAAGGTGACAAGCCACATGCTCGAGCTAACTAAGCATAGATGGAATAGGACAGTAGAAGAGAAGTAAGAGAAATGAGGAAAAAGTGCTAAGAAATACATGAGAACGGTGCCAAGATGGAAAAAGGCATCACAGGTAAAGCAACAGTTCAAGGAAGTGCATGGAAGCATAAAGCAGCACAGATACTCAGAAGGGAAAACGAAAAGTTATGTGACTGGATGGAAAAGAGGTTCCTCACTGACTAGTTGAGGGAAATGAAGGCAGTAAGAAGTCAGTAGTGGACTATGAGCAGTCTTCCAGTCATTTATCCTGTATCGAAGCTGTAACATTAAGGGAAATCTGTGAGATTTGAGCTGGCGTCTTTAGCAACCCAAGAAAAACATCACTGTGGCAGATTCCTCAGCGGCGCCCCCAGCCCCACCCCAGGGTCCATCCTCACTCTCAGTGTCTGCTGAGGCCAGGATAGAGCACCGTCCTCAGAGCTGCCTGACTCGCTCATGCTGCAGACACACCCCTCTTCCTACAGACGGTCAACCACAAAGCTCTGAGATCAGCCTGCAGGAATATACCATTATCAGTACTCATATCACAAGCGGAGAATGGGTACATATCCAGAATGTTTCAAAACTAGAACCACCCAGCCAAGCACTTCTCTTTCAAGGCTGTTTCAATTCAACATTGTACAATTAGCTTAAAAAGCAGGAAAACACAGAGATGATCAATCCATGTTTCAGGATCATCTTGTGCAGCTGCCTGACTTAAGGAAAAAGGTAAGAGAAAAACACTTCAGTTAAAAGAAAACTAGAGACAGGTTAGTAACTGCTTTTAAACTATAAATAATACATACGTGGTATTCAGTTAAGATAATTTTTCACCACTCCCCTCAAAAAGAACAAAATTAAATACTAGTTTATGCAAAAATTTTACATTCTAAAACATCATTCCTTTCTTAGGTATCCCCCTCTGTTCAGGCCTTCATGTTTTTCTGCTAAGTATGGAAAAACTTCTTCTAGGAAAGAAGAGGATGAGAGTCGGGAAATCCTTGCTGATCCTGTAATTACTGGATCTACCACCAATTAGGATGATTTCCTCAGTTTCAGGTCATTTGAATATCAAAGAACCACTGCATTGTCTTTTGAAAGGCACAGCTGAGAGGGGACTCTTTAGCTCTCAGCTGCCCAAAAGCTCCCAGAGGTGCTGGATCAGTATCCTTCCCCTCTGCTGCTTTTCTGGAGTCAAATGCCAGCCTCACCACAGAAAGGTTCATTTACCAACAAGGAACACTGCTGTTTGGAGATGCAATTTCTCAGATGCTCCAATGTAGATCTACTCATGCTCCTGCCTGGCATACATACCTACATCTGTAAGAGGAGTGTAGAAGAGTCCAGTAGTTAGGGCAGGAAATTTTCAGAAGAAGCTAGATTTATAGTCGTGTGCTTCCAATGAGCACTCATTCACCACTCTTCATCACTTTCTAATAATGACACTCCCAGTTGTACAAGACACAAAGGGAGATGGCTAAGAGAAAAACATTCAAGTGCCCAAAAAACAATTTGCCCCAGGACACAGAATACTCTCCATTCTCAACTTAGAAGCTTGTAAAAAATCTTTAGTCATCACTATAATTTTCTGATTTTTCCTTTCAATTCTCAGAAATCCCCAGAGGATCCCAGCAGTTCTCAACATATAAAAATAGAGGGTGAAACTGGTGCAAACGCTGCAATCACCAGTGTATCAGCAAGATATTTAACCTCAGACCTTTGATATCTCCCTGTTAAACCAATTCAGTTAGAAATTTTGCAAGCTATAATGATCAAAATCAGAACTGTTTTCCACGGAGAAACTCTGGACCAATTTATGATGATTCACATGGAAATAAACTTCCCAGGATGATAAAGAAATAGGAGAAGGCAGTTTTCCTTATGTATCAGGACAGCACATTCCCTTCCAAGAAGCTGTGCTGTTGCTATAGGCTATAATGGGGAAGGGTCATGAACATTCATGAGTAAGGTACAGTGAATATTAATTACTTTATACAGAGCAATTCTTTATTCTGACAATAAGGAGAAAATGGTTTGGGTTGGACACAATAAAGTTGGAGAAAGAAAAACTGAACATGATGACATATGGAAATAAAGGCAAATGTGTTTAATTACTTTTATTATTCAAGGCAGAATTCCATCCTGAGCTGGTGTTATAGACACTGCTACCATCATTATCTGATCCCTACACTGATTAACTTTTTTTTCCTGACTAAACATAAGGCATAAAAGAAGACAGTGAATAAAAGGGAAAAAAATCTGCTAAGGATATGTACTCTGATAAATTGGATTTAAACTAGATGGAAGTCTGAACCCAAGATTTATGTTATTCCCTTGACAGCACCCCCACAGACAAGGACCTTAACAGTTTCTACCAGTAAAGGATAACATCTCAAAGAAGGGCTTTTTACAGAACACCTGCTTCAACTGATCCTTTTAGGGATAAAAAAAAAAAATAGACCTTATGAAGCTATGAGACACTTGGAAGGAATAAACAGTTGATCAGTGGTCTGACTAAAGAAAAAGAAAAAAAAGTTTTTGGAAAAAGAGAGAAAGAGAGGTAAAGAGGGCAACTAGGTAAACCACACAGACAAATGTTACATCTAAGAATAGTAGCTGGTTGTAAATAAAATGACTTCATGCCAAGCCTCATTAGTATAGTCACTGAGGAAGGATGTTCCACGACACGACACACCGGGTCTAACAGGATATAGAAGTACTGCATGTAGTTTCTGACTCAGATGGTGTTGATAAATTTAAAGGAGTCAAGTTAAAATCAGAGGCAATGCAAAGAAATACAAAGCATGTTAATTCCATGATTTGATACTCTGAGAGAAAGGATGTCAACTTCTTCTGGAGGGTCTTAAGGCAAATGTCAGAAACAACCAATTTACCCATCAAATAAAAAAGGAAGACTTTAACACTGCTTGATTATGTGAAGCAAGTATGTCTCCCTAAAATCTAAGTTCTAAATAAACTGTGTGTTACTCAGGATCTCCTTAAGGTATATATTTGCCACTTAGGCAGATTTCTTCTCTCCCAGGCAGGTTTTTTAGAAAAGTTTGTTACAACAAACTGACAGAATAAATTCTGAATATTATACAGTTTCTATGGAATAAACACTGGAAAAAAAAACCCAAGCTCACCTTCATCACTTGTTGCCTGTTGCTTCACCAGGGTCATTGGGGATCTTGCTGGAGGCTTACTAAGTGGGTGGCGCCAACTTTTAGCAGTCTTGGTTTCACCTTCTGTTCTCTGGTTACAGAACATGAATAGGGGAGAAATACTCACCATTAAAGACTTGTTTTAAAAGAAAAAACTATCATCACAATGACTTACCACAAAAAAAATTATAAAGAGCTCTTGTACTTGTTTTACCACCTGAGAAATTAAGTTTATTAAAGAAATTTAAACGGCAAAGTCAAAAGAAATAGGAGCCATTCTGTTAGTAATTTTACTGAGAGAGGAATCACTGAACTATCCTTCCATTTCATATTAAAGCACTATCTGTAGTGCAGGGTACGCTTTGCAAACCTATAATAAATTCGGATGTTAGAGAGTTTTCAAAAGTCCTTTAAAGATAATTTAAATTTAGGATTATATATTCGTAACAATCCAGGACCATGGCATTTGGTCACATGTGACTGTGCAGCAGATTATTTTGCTTTCTGTCTTCAGAAGGCAATACAGCCAAAGTGAATCTGTACTCTTCCTTCCACTGGAAAATGAATCCTCACTTCTCTGAGGACCAAATAGGAAATCAAAAGTTGTTGTTGTTTAATATGGCACATAACTGTCATCCTGAAACCACTAAAATTCTATGTAAAATCTTTTGTTATGAGCTGCCTAGACTACATATTTCTTTCAAAGGTAGAGGAAAAAGTCATTTGCATCCTGACATCTTTCAGAGAGACTCTATTTACAAGCTTTCTCATCCATACAATTAAAAAAAAAAAAAGTGGCAGAGTTGCTAGTTAGAGAAAGAGTTCAAATCCAGTGGGTTTGCATCAGTGGTTGATGCAAAAGAAAGGAGTCTTATAAATTTCCCTAAAAGCTGAAGCAGCAGTGCCCGGAAGGAAAGAAACTATGCTGACATCTGACACATAAACAGGCTTATGAGAAAATGTGTGACAACATTCTAATCAAAGCAAGATTCACAAAGTAATGATAGAGGATGAGATTTGCCTCTGGTATATAATACCTAAAAATGAATGTGAGAAATTATAATTTAGTCAAAAATAAGAAATATTTATTAAGCCCTTACTATGTGCTACACTGCTCTTAAGAGTAGCTAGAGCAGGAAAAAATTCTAGTAGGTCCCTGCTTCCAAGGAGTGCCATATAGATGGGGTGGGCCAGAGGCAATAAACAAGTAAAAGTAAATACTGGGTTGTTGCTATTGTTTTAGTTGCTCAGTCGTGTCTGACTCTTTGTGACCCCATGGACTGTAGCCCAGCCAGGTTCCTCTTTCCATGGGATTTCCCAGGCAAGAATACTGGAGTGGGTTGCCATTTCCTTTTCCAGGGGATCGTCACGACCCAGGGATCAAACCAGCACTTCCTGCTTGGCAGACGGATTCTTTTATCACTGAGACACTGTGGAAGCCCCAAAATATCAGGTACTATTAAGTAAATATGCAGTAATAATGGGGGAAAAAAAGCATGACAAAGAATAGAAGGAGATGGGGAGGAGGTTATTTTATGTGGGATCATCAGAGAAGGCCTTTTTGATGTGAAGACATCTTGAGTGGAGTCTTGAGAGCAATGAGAAAGCAGCACATTTAGCTCTCTGAGAGAAGGGCATTTTGGACAGCAGGAATAGCAAGTAATGTGTGAACATGTTTGGTTCACTTAATGTTTCCTGAGGATGACTAAAGCTGACTGCTATCAGCTAACACACAGTGTTACACTCAACACTAAGAAACACTGGTCACACTACACAAAAATGAACCAGGTCTGTATGACTTAGAAGGACTTAGAAGTCTGACAAAATGGGATGAGAAAAGACCACCACACAGCTATTTCTGACAAGTGCAAACCAAGTCCTTATCCCTCAGCAACAACACTTGCCTTCCTGGGCAGTCAGGCTTTGTTCAGTGAAATGATAAAGATGAAGGTTAACAGTAAGGGAAAGAAAAGTTATTTTCAGTTCCATTCTAGTTTAAGGAATTAGACCAAATATAAACAGGCATTTGACTTATTCCCCAGTCTAGAATCCCAGTATCTGTCCAGCTACAAATAATCCCTACGTGAAACTAAGTTGTAAATTTTGTTTACTGTTATGTGAATACTATGTTCAAATTTCTCAGCCACCTTTTCAAATAAATTAGATTATAACTTTCTGTTTCTCAGGTGTTTCTGAGAAATATTTTATAGTTCAGTAGGACAATCATGCATAAAAAATGATAAGAAGTTATTGGGGGAAATTAGGAGATTATCTATATTGTATTGGACATTTTAAAACTACTTATAAATAGGGCATTCCAAATTGATGTCTTTATTTACTCTCTCTTGCTACTCAAAGATACAAAAGGATTCTTCTGAGCTAAAATGAACAGGAACAATCCAGAACTGGGTCTGTTCAGCAGCCAGCACAATTTATCAGCTCAAATATTTGAGGCTTGCCCTATTCATCCACTTGAACTCCTTTACCAAGTTGTTCAGGTCAAAAGAGGTTACCAAATTATGACAATCACAACACACAATTGTAGCTTGGCTGATACAATCAGTTCATGCTGAAAGCATGTGATACTAACATCATACAAGGACACAGGACAAACAGGGAGGCCTTCTGTAAAGGGTTAGAAAAAGGAAGTTGGAAATCAAGAGGAATCTTGAGCTTTCCAAGTGGCAGAAAGCCTGGTTCCAGCATGGGTAGAGACAGAAGGTTCAGCCTGGTCCTAGATTCAGAGTCCATGAGGCAAGAGTCAGGGAAAAACATAACCAGAAGAGCCCTAATGTTAAAACAGAGGTTGAGAGAAGTCTAGGACCCAGAGGTATTAAGCACTGGCAGAAAGAGGTGAGAGTCTTGCAGGTGAATTATTTCCAGTCTGGCTAATATTGCAGGTGACAGAACCATTCTATGTCTTGACTATATCGATGTCAGTATCACTGTGCTATCCTATCCTAGTTTTCCAAGGAGGTTCTATTGGGGGAAACTGGGTGTATAACATCTTGCTACACTACTTCTTACCACTGCATATAAATCTACAAAGATCTCAAAACAAAGAGTTTAATGTTAGAAAAACTAAGAAATAAAATCAAACCCCAACACATGGCCGAAAGTTCCATGTTCTCTGAATTATCATCACGTTAGCCAGAGCTCACAGAAAGTTTACCTCCCAGTCATTGAAGGAAAAAGATTAAGACCTATAAATGTGAGATGCTATTTCCACCCTACAGCAAGATTTCCAACGCATAGCATGCTGTTTCCAAAAAGAGCCTTGACAACACAATAAATATGGTAAAAATTGACACTGTCACATACACTGGGGACTTTGAAGCCATTTCTCTTGCTACTGGAGACCGCCGGGTCTTCCCCAGGTTCAAGGCCACTGCCACGGCTTTCCACATCACTCTCTTCTCCCTCAGTCAAAGCACTGCTGCTCTCTGCCACAGAGGAGTATGACTCAGGTGACTTTGGCCATGGAAGCCTGCGTGGCTCTGATTCCTCGGATGTCACTTGGCCACTAGATATGGACTCGTCAGCCTCACTGGGATCTGAAGGTGGAACTGCAGCACAAGTTTGGTCATCCTCAGCTGTGATTTTCTCTGCTACAGATGCACTTAGGCAGACGTTTCCTAAGGAGTAAAACAAGAGCGCGTTAATAAATGTTACAATGTATTATTGCTAAGAATTGGTAAACTGCTCTCAACTAAATGTCTACCATCAAACATCCCCTCTAAATTTCCACCGAAGACCCCAGTGGGAAAGGTCACCAAAGCACTATGCAGCCTTTGTAGTTGCTAAGGCAGCAAAATAATATATTTACTGACAAAATAAGGGATCAAAAAGAGGTTCCACTGTAAACCAGTGTCCAAAGCCTTGGCAATAACAATACTTACCTAAGCAACTGCAATTTGAGATCTTTCAAAAAAATAAGAATTTAATTCCAATATATGTTACTGATGAAACATTCCAACTCAGAGGATGTGAAACTGTACAAGTCCATGTAAAACACATGTAAAACTGTGCAGGTCCAATAAAAATGGTTTCTTAAACTAATCCTGCACAGTACAAGGACAGCACAAAACGGAAAGGAATATCACAAATACTTCACTTCTACATGAAGTGAAGGTCTTGGCCCTACCATTTTCTCTTATGTATACACAAGTGTGCATCATTTTATTCACCTATCACATAGTAGCTCAAACTGCACCATGCCAAATCTTTTTTTCCCCAAATCTATTAAATGCTCTGTTGGGTTTTAAAACCCAGAAGTCAAAATCCAAGAAACCAGGTAGCAACAGAACAAATAAAGCTGCGTATCCTTGGCTTAAACCACTCGGTAGTTCGTAAAGTAATTAATTTAATCCAGTGTACTTAAAAAAAAAAAAAACTATGGTGAGGGACAATAAAGAAATATCTGTACACATTACATAACTAGGGATTCCTTGGTGGCTCAGAGGTAAAGAATCTGCCTGCCAATGCAGAAGATGAAGGTTCAACCACTGGGCTGGAAAAATTCTCTAGAGAAGGAAATGGCAACCTACTCCAGTATTCTTGCCTGAGAAATCCCAGGACAGAGGAGCCTGGTGGGCTACAGTTTACAGGATTGCAAAAGAGTCGGATACAGCTTAGCAACTGAACATGTGTATAGTGCATAACTGGTCTCTGCACTTCCCTACCTTCTTCACTTTCTATCTTCCATGCATTCATCACGAATCAGTTCAGATATCACCCACTCCCAGAAACCTTGCCAGTTCAGCCTCCTGTCTATTTTGGGTCTTTCCTTGGTATGCCATCTCTATAGTGGTACTTGGCACACTAGAAAGGAATTACATATTTATTTGTCTAGATATCCAATTAAATACAAACTCACTGGGAAAATGTCTATGATTTAAACTCTATTAACACAGACATTTCAAGTGCAAAAGGAAATAAGAATGGAGAAGAAGCCAAGGACTGATTAATTAGAACAATGATCAGGACTTTTCTTTTACTCTAAGCGGAATAAGAACAAGAAAATGGTAGGGCCAAGACCTAAGCTGAGTCTTTTAAAAGGATCACTTCAATTGCCATATGGAGAACTGACTACAGTGGACCCTGGACAAACAGGAAGGAGGCACCTTCTACAAAAGCCCAGACAAAGATAGCACATCTCGGGTGAAGAGAGAGCAGGGGGACGTGTGGATGTGGGAGAGCCCCACAACAGAAAGACAGAATAGAGGAGGGGGTGAGAGTGAGACAGGGACTACCAATAAGCTCCACTAGAAAAAAGGCAAACTCTCCCACAAGTATCAAAGAGGCAAAGCATAAAAACAGTTTCAAAGAAATATGCTACAAAAAAGGGGAAGAGCAAATGAGTTGAGATTTATAGATGATGGCTTTGGTACAGAGAAACAGCCAGGGGACTATATATGCCATGTCACAGGACTGAATGATTTTTGATGTTACTTTGTAAAACCTTAATCTTTATTTTCTTTTTAAAATTAATTTAAAAGCTAAGAATCTGCAAAGAATTATCTATAATTGGTTTTCTCTATTCCATGTGAATTCGAGATTTCCAAAAATGTATTATATATTGTAAATTGAGTTGCACCAAAAAAAATTTTTTTTCTTTTCCATTTTAGAATCTACTTTTTCATTAAATGAAATAGGTACTGCTGGCTATTTGTCTTAAAATTTCATTACCCGGAACAGTGGTACTTCTGGCTTTTATAACACTCCCTTGGCGTTCTAGTTGAGTTACCCCATAGCTTTAGATACCTTATTGGTTAAGCTCTGTGGAAAAGTAAGATATCTGTCCTAGAAAACACAGACTTAAGGAAGATCAGCAACTACCTACTACTAATACGTGAAATATAATCAGCTAGTTTCTCACCCGAGAATCTGATATTATCTGACAAATTATGATCCAATTGCATCCTGCTAACAGAGGTCTCTTTCTCTGAAGGTGCTTCTGTGTTTGCTAGTTTCACTGCTTCTTCTGGCTTTTCATCATCCTTGAGATCATATGCATCCGGGTCAGGAGTGGGTCCCTCTGTCCCACCAACTGTAGCTGACAGTTTCTCATCCTCCTCATTCTTAGGCCTCTTAGAGTGAGAACTAGTACACTGGAAGCTATTAACAAGAAAAGCTGTAGTCAGAACACAATGTGAGCAAAGGACAGAAGAAAATACATACATAAGCACTGTTTTCATTTATTGAAAAAACAGAATAAAAAACTGGTTTTTAATTGCAATATACAAAGATAATCTTCATGATTAATAAATCAAATTTGAAATTGAAATGTTAACAACAGTTTTAATAACAATTTACTAAAAATTAAAATTAAAACAACTCTATATAATTGATTATTAAAATATTATTGGGAAAAAGTCACTGTTAAAATTTTATATGGAGAAGGAAATGGCAACCCACTCCAGTATTCTTGCCTGGAGAATTCCATGGGCAGAGAGCCTGGTGGGCTACAGTCCATGGGGTCTCAAAGAGTCAGACAGGACTGAGCGACTAAACAACAACAAAACTTTATAATAATATTAAAAGAAAGCTTAACATAAAAAATAAAGTGAAAAATCATGACACAGGGATAAAATCAAACATTATTTAGATAATGAAGAAACAGAAAACAAAGTGATTCCATAAAGCTGTTGTTAAAATTTTGGTAGATTATTTACATTCCAAGGTGACCTGTTGACTGTATTTCCCTGAGTTTCACAGAATTCTGAAATATACATGAAAATCATTAAGATTACACGTCAAATTATCATTAGCTAAAGAAATTATGAGAGGAAGAAGGCTAACCACATGTGTTTAACATCTTATATCAATGTACTATTTATTTTCAGAGTGGACACCATTTTTATATTATTCCACTTCCAGTATTTTTCAGCAAGTTACTTCATAGCTTTATTGTAGATGCCTTCTGTAAATGACACAACATTTCTAACACTTTCATTTGAGAAGAGCTATGTCAAATTAAATCAACATGTATTTCAGAATACGTGTACACACACACACACACACACACACACACACACATGACATTAGTGTTATCCTATAGGAAGTCCCCATAAGATAAAGGGAGTAGCCAGGGATAACCTGGCTTTGGTAAATTTGCTAGAAGTAACAGTACTGGTATCATCATCACTTTTACTGAAACCCATGCAGTGGTCTATGTGGAATATTACATTATGAATAGCACAGCACACATAAAATTAAAAGGTTGACATCTCTTTGAGAATTCAATGAAACAATCCCTTAATTAGACTTCCTCAGATACAGTATATTACTTAAGCAAACTCAGCGAACTCAAGCAAACTCAATGATCAAGCCACAAAGGTGAGTATAATAAGCCCCTCAACATTAGGCTTTCTAACTGGGTAAGTAAAGACCACTGATTATTTTAACCTACTGAAAGACACTTCACTGTTCAATGTCATATCCGTGTGCAATGTCAACCAACAAGGACCACTGTGATTAGTAACTAAGAGACCAGATTATACACCTAAATTAGTGTTGTGTTTTCTGTCCATTAAAGAATAATTCTCAAGACATTCTACTGGCCACTGAACTCAAGATTGACTACTGTCTCCTGCAGTGAATTTTTTTTGGCAATGTGGATTAGCACCTTTATTCTCCAAATCAGTGTTTCCCAAACTTTTCGGAGTGCAACCCACAGTGAGTTATACACTTCAGATGATGACACGATACGCACGTACACCAATGCTCACACATGTCATGAATTAATACTTACCATCACCTCATGGGAAGGACTACAATACATTTTACTCTCTTTAACTTCCTAATTTTAAAATGCTGTTCCTAACCTATTAAATTTATTTGAAAAGTGACAGTCTGAAAATTCCTGCTGTAGACTATAGGGTGAAATAAGAACATCTGGGTTGTAACTCTGCTACTAATTCTGTGCAAGTATATCTCATAAAATGCTGGTTTGATTCCATGTTCTTAAGGTTCCTTCACTTACTAGCATTCTAAAATAGCAGAAAATAAATTGTGCAGGGGAAAAAAAAACAGAGAGAGAGACAGAGAGAGAGTCAGGAAATAAACATCAGAAGTGTGGGCAAAGATTTTAAATTATAGTGTTTTTTGGTTAGTAGCTAAAAACTGGAAGGAAGCTACAGGTCCAACTATAGGAGATTAGATAAAATACATGCAGGCATTAAAGATTTTGTAGCAAATCATTCAATTACATGAAAAAACACAAAACTGGTCAAATTACTAATAGAGCATGGCCCCAATTTTGGAAAGGTATATAATATTATATAATAAATAAGAAATATATATGTAAAGGATATATACAAAATGTTAACACTGGTTATCTCTGGATTGTGAGGTTAATGGGTGATTTGGGATTCTTTCATTATTCTTTTCCTTATTTTACAAATTTTCTCCAATGAACAAATATTACTTTTACAATCTGAAAGAAAAACAATGAGTAATATTGGAGAGTAAAACTACAACACAAACCTGGAAAATAAGAACCTAAAAAAGGTTGCCGGAGGACCTGAGCGACAAAACACACTTCCTGTTTAATGTGTTTTAAGACAGCAAGATGACCATGACAGGCCTAAAGACCACAAAAATGGAATGTAGGATACATTACACAGAGACAACCACGTTACAGAAACACCACATGCTCTGACTGACAACTTGTGAAAGCACAAAGCTGTGTGTATAATGCAGCAAAATATAGGCTCCCCAATAAGAAGAGTAATATGAGATGTTTGACAAGTGAAGAAGAGAACTACCGAAAGTCAAAATCAGTAGCCAAATTAAAAAGTTGGAAACCAAGTTATTGAAGCTGACAAAAATAAGGAGAGAGCACCCATAAGACTTTAAATACACTCGTGTTAAGGGGTTTAGTAGTTCTACAAGTGTTCTATTTCTCATGCACTGCAACACAACAGACCTCTCTTTTTACATTCTATTTATTTATTGCACTTCCAAAGAATTACAAATACTTTGCCTCAAATTTTCAGTTAAGATAGTAAATAAACATACAATGAATAAACAGAAGAAAAGCAAATAAATAGTCTAAATTTTAACTGAGTGGGATGGGGTGGGGGCAGGATCATTACCTCCTGGTTGCTTTTCTTACTTTCCTCCTCCGCTGCAGCCATGCTTTTACTTCAGGGGTGGATTCTGGAGTAGGCTTTGTGTGATCAATGGTGTATATATCCTTTCCTTGTTTCCAAAGCTGGTATCTGTCTGGTTGAAATTTCCTCACAAAGATATCCATAGAAATTTTCACCATGTCTTTCCTGCAAGTGCACTGAAACACAATGGCGTTGGAGTGCTTTAGACATTTTGCTAACTATATAAAGTCACACTGAGTTGTTCTCTGAGTGTGCCATACATGAATACTTAGTTACTACATAATTAAAAATAATGCTTTATATTTTCGAACATTCAGTGAGTAAGAAACTCAATTTCTCCTGAATGGAAGTGACAATCTGTATATTCACATCTATAAATGAGAGTAAGATGTTAAAATGTATTGTACAGCTCTTGGAAACTCTATCAAGAACAACTGAAAGGAACGAGCACATATTTGAAAGCATACCTGCAGAGAAGGAATACCCTCCCAGCACAAGGATGCATTGCTGCACTGAATATTATAAAAAAGAAAATCTAGGTTGGCAATGAATAAAAGTAGCTAATGAATGTGTGGTTAGAATAATTTAACCAATAGATTGATATAAATTTTCTCCAAGACCCTTATTAATCACCTTAGTGTTTATAACAAATACACTCTCACAAAGCAACCAACAATTAGGAGCAAATAAACAGTCTCTTCTACATCATATCACATGAAACACCCAGCATCATCTCTACAATCATATCCATTAGGAAAAACAGTATTAAGGTAAGAAGTTTAAAGAAAAGATTATTTTGAACCCACTAGAACTTCCATTCTCATGAATACATAGTTAGCAGTCATTAGGAAGTTTCCTATAAAGACCTCACACAGGTTAAAGTGTGTCCAGACTAATACTCCAGGCAGGTAGAATTCAGTGAAACAGAGGTAGTCTCAAAGATGTAACTAAAATCATCCTTTTTAAGGATGATCCATAAAAGATCCATAAAAGATGTACCTTAATCATCCCTAATACACCTGGCAATAGACTGGTTTATTCAACAACAGCCTTGAAAGTAAATCTTTCAATACTTTGGGAAAACAATTATCATCTCTATGCAAATTAATTTAAAATTTCTTAATAACCTCCAGCCCAAAACTTTCTCCACAGAGTTCCAATCTTGACTTGAAAGTTCAAGAAGAATGAAAAAACAAAACAGTTCAGGACATGGCTAATAGTCTAATATGCTGAAAAGCAACTTCTCCAACTTCCACCGAAAATTCTATTGTTATATATGTTATGATAATCCTTTTGTTCTTCTATATTCACAATCAAGATTTCCTAATCCCCCCCTTTGCTTCGAATCCTCGAAATCCAATCTGTCATCATCTACAATTAGCTCTTCACCTACCTGCATAAATCGTTTCACCAGGACCCCTTCACTGTCAGACTCTGAAACTTAGTATAACAAAGCTAACTAATTTCCCTGCCTGCAGTCTCTCAGAGCTCCAATTCATCTTCATAGCTGTCACTTTAATCTCCCTCAAATATCTCATAATCTTTCATTTCTGAGTTCAATACGGTATAGTATTCTGCTCTACCTTTAAAATAAAGTCTAATGTTCTGAGCCTGGCATTCAAGGCCTCTTAAGTTTTATCTCCACTAGTGAGATATCCAGGTTTCTCCTCCACTGCAACTGAATATTCCTATTCAACCACGAAGCGAAGTCACCAAGAGCCTCCTTACCTCAGTACTTCTGATCCTACCACAAAGCCTTCCAGCTCACCATTCTGCCATCCAAAGCAAATTCATCCTAAACACTGAATGCAAATTGTACCAATTATCCTTCAGAATGGAGTACTATTTATCTACATCATTGCTTTCTATTATTAATTAAGTACAGGCAGACTTCATTCCATTACACTTTGCTTTATCACACTTTCCTCTAACACGCTTTGCAGATAAAGTGCTTTTTACAAATTGAAGGTCTGGGGCAACTATGCATCAAGTCGATCAATTTTTCCTACAGCATTTTCCAACAGCAGATGCTCTCTTCATATCTCTGTGTCATGTTTTGGTAATTCTCAACATTTCAAACTTTTTCATTATTAGGGTGATCTGTGATCAGTGATTATTGATGTTACTATTGCAAAAAGAATAAAACTTGCTGAAGGCTCAAATGATGGTTAACTTTGTTTTTAGCAATAGAATATTTTCTAATATATACTTTTTTCTAGACACAAAACTATTGCACATAATAGACTACAATATAGTGTAAACATAACTTTTATATGCACTGGTGAACCAAATAATTTGTGTGACTCGCTTTTTGTGGGAAAAGGAACTGAAACCCCAATCTCTGAGGCATGCCTGTAAAAAGAGAATTTTGAGTCATTTTTAAGTCTTCCTGGCTCAGAAATACAGAAAATGAGGATCATTAGATATTTGAAATTATTTTGCTTTAAGATGCAACCTTTCGCTAAAGGAAGAAATGAAATTTAGACTCACCTGCAGAAACTCTCTTATTTGAATACAGTGTTACTAGTATTGTTTTGTGAAAAAAAGGAGTGGACAATATAGATACTGTAAGTTGCCTTGGCATCCAAGAATTTTGTATTACATTTTAATTTCCTATCCCTCTCTCCTGGAAGTCTTGAATTTTGTACACAAACAACAGGATCCATTGCTCACCTGATTCTCTGACTCAGTGCAAGAATTTATGTCCCAAGTTATAGAAACAGAGAACAAATTAACGGCTGCCAGGGTTAAGGGAAGAAATGCCAGTGAGAGGGAAGCAGGTGGGTTCAGGTATACAAGGCAATGTGACGGAGCCTTGCAGTGGTGGAAATATTCTGTATCGTTGTCAATATCCTCTTCTCTTATACTGTGCTATAGTTTTGCAAGAACTTACCATCAGGGTAACAGTAAACGATACACAGGGATTGATGTGAATCTACAATTATCTAAAAATAAAATGTTTAAGAAAAAAATAAACTCCAAGACTTCCTTAAAAACATGTGTGTGTGTGTGTGTGTGTGTGTGTGTGTGTGTCTTTAACCTTCAATTTTAAATATTCAGAAATTCAGGCATAAAATACCCAAAATAATGCAGGGGCACAATGCCAGAGTCAAAAATAGTTGAAGTAAACTTTAAAAGCATACAGAAAATCTACTTTTGTCAGTAGTGACAATTAACACATTCATCTAAAGCCCTAAAGATTACATGAGAACATTTAATAGAATGTGCAATGTGACTTTACTAGCATACAAGAATGGAAGACATTAACAATCCCATTTAGGAACAAAGAAATTACAGGCTACATATTGGTACAAAAAGCAATAACAGGTAATAACTCTCAAGCAAGCTATTTTGGATAAGAATTCAAAACACTAATAGAAATGGCTTTTCTTACTGTTTCTTTTAAGAGTATACCCATTGTTTATGCAATATATATAATGTATGCAATGCTAAGTTCATATTTAAAGGGAGTTGTCAGGAGTCTATAAGCACAGAACTCTTCCATATTTCACTACCCTAAGACTTCTTACACAGAATCATGATTATTCGTCCCTGTCTCCCAGGAAGTCAAATTCATGCTGTTATTTATACTGAAAACCAGCAATCTAATTTCAAAATGAAAATGTTTCTAAAAATCAGCAACTTTCTAAGGCAGCAAATACTAAGCTAGTCATCTGAATTGTAGAATTGGAAATTTCATATAACCACAATATATGATTAATAAAATAAACGGCTGCGGCTTAATTAAAAAACCCAAACAAAGGTATTACTTGAACATACATTCTTTGTGACACACAGTGTGGCTAATGGGGGGGGGGGGGCTTTCATCTGCAAATATCTGATAAGGAGACTTCGAAGGTATGCAAACATCTGAAATTATTCTGCTTTCCAGTCTATTTATAATAATTAAATGGTAATTAAGAAGGAACTGAGGAAAGGGACTTCCCTGGTGGCCCAGTGGCCAAGATTTCTCACTTGCAATGCCGGGGGCCCCAGACTGATCACTGGTCAGGGAACTGGATGCCACATGCCACAACTAACAGTTTGCATGCCACAACAAAGACCCAGGGCAGCCAAATAATAAAAAATAAATATTAAACAACAAAAGAGGTACTAAGGCAAGGATTACTTAAAGTAAGATAACAAACCTAGTAAGCCACTTGATGTGGTTGTTATGGGTTAAACTGTATCTCCCCTCTACCCCCAAAAGGTATGTTGAAATTCTAACCCCAGTACATCAGAATACAGACCTACTTTGGAGACAGGGTTAAGGCAGAAGTAATTACTATGGTGTAATATGGTGTTCCTGAGTAGAGTGGGCCCTTAATCCAGTAGGACTGGTGCCCTTATCAAAAAAGAAGAGGCACAGACATGGATTAATGCATCTACAAGGCAAGGGCCATTGAGGATTAACTCTGCCACCAGGAAGAAGCCTGGGAGGGTCTCAGAGGGAGGAAAGAACTATAGGTGCCTTGATTTTGGACTTTTGGCCTCCAGAACCCTGAGGCAATAAATTTCTGTTGTTGTAAATCACCCAGTTGTTGGCTCTATTACAGCAGTCCAAGGGAACTAATACAAATTTTTGGAACTAGGAAGTACAGCACTTCTATAACAAACAGCTTAGGATGTGGAGTGGCTTTGGGGAGGAGAAAAGTAGAGAGTCATCATCATAGACTATATCATATATATATATATCATATGCTATAACATATATCATATATATATATATATAAATAAAATGAAGAACAGAGTATCACTACATGTGCTAAATCTACTTCTGGCAAGGTCTCGGAGGTAAATGAGGAGCATGGTATTGGTCACTGGAGGAAAGGTGATCCCTGCTGTGCAAAGTGGAAAAGTTGTGTTATGTTGGGTGAAAGGTAGAACTTAAAAATTACAAACTTGGAAATGTAGGTGCAATTTCCAATGGAAGTATGGAAGGTTCAGCCTTGCTTGCCTTGTCTGCTTACTGTAAGACAGTAGAAGAAAGAAAGAAACTGAGGAAGGAACTGCTAAGCAAAAAGAAACCAGTTTGGAAAATGCTCAGCCTATCCACAGAGTATATTCTGGAGACTGGGCCAATGGTTTGGCTGGATAGACATTTGCTAAAGGGATTAGGCATGTGAGTTATGGATCAGATCAACCATTTCAGCAGAAGTCAGGAATGGAGAAGTGA